TAAGTGCAAAACGTGTAAAGCCTCAGTTCTTGTATAAAATTCTGACAATTTTTTTTTCTTTAATTACCATCTTATATTAAAAAAATAAAAAGTTTAACATTCTTGTAAACATTAACAAATTATAAAAAAAAAAAAAAAGATTGATCCACTCCTCTGTTTCTTTAAACTGCGCGTCCAACAAGTCGGTGACGTCATACACGATCTGCTAGTACAGCAAGATCATACTCGGTGAATACAAGGGCGGTATTATTATGTAAAAACAGGTCATAATCATTATAAGATGAAGTATATGAGAAGCAGGGAACACAAAAATTATTTTTGCATGGCTGATGACGGAAATCTTATGTAGGTATATCTTATTTCGCTTATTTAGCTTACGTGTGACGTCATAGTTGGTTTTTCCCGTACTCGAGAAATGTAAACATGACAAGTTTTTGTCCTGCTTATGTCGTCTTTAACGATGTCCTGTGCAATATTGAGGTCAGCTTCACCATTCGAAATTTTTACAGTTAATCAATAATTTGAAGGACTTGCATTTCAACGTAAATTTAAAAATATTGAATGATAGGATTTTTTGTAAATTACGTTTTTTGTTGTTTAAGTTGTCTTAAAAAGTTCGTAATTTTCCCTATCCAGATGCAGTGTGATAGATGAAACTTGCCTTTTCGAATTTTAAACCCAATTCATACTCTGAAATATTTTAAAAGATACATGTTCACTTACATATTTTTATATATGCTTTAAAAATCCAATTATGGACAGAGTAATGAGCCTGGAAAAACGGAGAATTAAAACTCCACTTAGATACTGTAGGGGATAATATTTGTCAGTCAATATTTCTAAAATAAGGTAAGAAACCTAATGATATAACTGCTTTAAGATATGTGGGACATACTTAATAAGAAATATACAAAATATAAAAAAAATTGAATGACAAGTATTTTTTCAGCTAAAGATCCTTCTTCCCCTTAATTCATAATATATTGAAATTTTATTCTACATATGAAAGTAAGAAAGACTTTTACAAAATTTAAGAAAAAAAAAATCACTTTGTGAAATTCTTGCTCCCAGTGTCGTAGGTTCAGGGTTGAGGTTTAAGGCTGAAGCTAGTTGGTTAAAAAGTAAAATTTAATTTCAAACTTTGCAATCTACTTAACTCTGGACATCCTGCAATGAGCATCTTTGCAGGATTATTATGAATATTAATATGTCGACAAAAATTGCGAACTTCTTACTCTGGGTCCAGTATTTATTCCGCTGGGTGGGGTGAGGTTGTCAAACATTAAAATTGCATTAGATCTTTCGAAATCTTTGGACCTCTAACAGATATTCTATGTTCTGGTAGCAATGACCTACGAACACTTCATCAAAATTGTCAAGTCCATATCCTTGGGTCATATGGATAACACATAGCTTATAAAATCTCTTTACTTATTTGTAAGTGCATGTTTGTAACATATACACTTTATGCGTAGTGATAATGAACGAGAAGGCATCTGATTATTAATTTTATGCCACATGCTCCCAGAGGTTTCTATCAAATTTAACGTAATTTTAATCCACTATACGGTATGTATAAACTTTTTGTTTTCTGAAACTAATATTTCTTAGAAACTATACTTTTGATTTGAGAAATAATGGTCTACATAGCTTTAGAATTCAGGTTATTACATGAAATTTCTTTTTTATAAACTTATAGACATCATGTGACTACTGATAAAGATAAAACAGTGATATGCAAACAAAAAGGTCTTTAGCGTGATAAATTCGTTTAAGAGTCAATTTGGGACCTAATTCGGAGTCATCCAGTGTGTGAAAATGAAATTTCTGTTGTTTGCAAGGCGAACTAGTCGTAGGTGTATAGCAGTAAGATGATGAATTAGTTTCAGTATCAGTTATAACTATGATTGTGATTTCAATAACGTAAACATCTCGTTTACAAAGGACATCCGGGTCAGGCTTATAAAAATATTGATGTCCACAAATGCCCCCCTCTCCCGTAATCAAGGCGGGAGATTAATAGACTAAAATCTAATACTAGACAAAAATCTAATTACATGTAGGTAGGCACAAAAGGATTGTTAGGATAGAATATTCTTTACAGCAATGTTTCCTGTTTAAATTTAGAGCATATTTGATAAGTCTTACCCATAAAGTCAATATTATGATTAAATGATAAGCCTAGGGTATCACATAAGGCCATTGTTTTTAACACGCTTTTATAAAGATAGAGGGTTAATAATATTTCTCTTATCATGTTATTTAAGATATTATATTGAAAATTGAAAGATCGTCCCTCACAAATTATCTAATACTTTTGACTGAAAATCTAAACATTTATACAGCTAACAATTTTTACGTAACCAGCGATCAGTCATTGTACATGTAATATATGCAAAGTCATGTTCATCCTCCAAGTAGATTTATAGTGTTTGAACGAGGCTTTATTAGATGATAAAATAGTAGACTGTATTCAAAATTGTACGAAATCTTATTTCTTGAAAATGGGTTTCTGGGAAATGCTAGTTTTCTTTTAGCGGTAGATAGCCGTGTAGCTGTAATAAGTTAGCCCAGAATGGTATGTACAGTTAAAACTATTTAGTATATAATGGATTAAGTTAAAAAGCCTACATCAGACTTTAAAAAAAAATAATCAAGTTAATTATATCATTGCGTCACCAGAATTAAATAGAAATATGCATTTTGGAAAGGTTATCAGATATCTCTCTGATTTTAATTTCCCCACTCCTCTTTGTAATGATTTTTTTTCATATACAGATAAGATATTTATACTTTCTAAATTTTTGGTTTATAATCGTTATGCCCAAATATTTTGTAATAAAGCTTATGTCCTCATAAACTGGTTGTTATCTCTCGATGAATAAAAAATGCCACAAAAAAGAGCCTTATTTAGAACTTATTTAAACTAACAAAATTTGTTAGACGGATTCTCTGACTTGCCTTTGATTTGTCTATCAAAAGAATTTTTTATTTATATTTTTATTCTGTGAAATTGTCCAATAATTTTACGTTTTTATAGATATACATGTAACATTAAGAAATGATGTTCGATTTCAAAAGAACTTTGCCTGCTATATAATCTTTAAAGTATTTTTAGTTTAGTATGTTCATGACACGCAAAGATTTTAAGCTTCCTTCAAACATTGCCAAAATTATCTCAGCAAAATGGATTTGTTTGAGTCTCCTTAAATTATATTGATTTAAAAAAATACCCATATTTGAACTTTTTTATACTCCTTTGGGACTAATATTATGAAGCATCAAATATGCGTGTTAACAAATTTTGTAGATTTGTATATAAAAGGTGAAGATAAAAAACTGTGATTAATCTTATAAATCTAATGACGAATACAAATCGTAAACAGGGCAAAAACACAGACCCTTGGAAACAACAGAGGTGAATCAGGTGCCTAGAAAGAGTAGCATCCTCCGTCGATCCCTCTGTATTGATAAGGTAGACGGGATTATTACATCTTCAATAGTGAAATACTGTGATTTATTTATTGAATAAAAGTGATAATCTCTCACAGTGTGAAAGGATACCAAATTTAAAGTGATATTCTCTCACAGTGTGAAAGGATATCATAGTAAGTAAAAAATAATTTCTGGCCTGTCAAACGATAGAGATAGTAACTAAACTGCTGTCTTGATAGATACTAAAACTGCCAATTTCTTCCCAAATATTTTGCTAAAATCCATTTTACAATGTTTTCAATCTCACAACTGCTAAGCTATGACGTCTCAACCGCTCAACTATGATGTAACAGCTTATGACAATGTGTTAAGAAAAGACAGAGGGAAAAGGGAAAATCAAAGAAAATGTAATAAACAGAAAATTCAATGTTTTGTAGTTGGAATTTATTTAACTCATGAGATAAGATTTTTTAAATATTTTCACTCGTGCTTCGCACTCGTGAAAATATTAAAAAAAAATTCTGCCCCACTCGTGAAATAATCATATCCAACTACAAAACTTTGAATATCCTCTATTTATCTGTAGTCAAAATGGTATATAAACAATTGGCCTGACAAATGGTGGGAATCATGTCAGTCGAAAAACGACCTTGCATTATAATGACCATAGAATTAGAAAAAATGCTGACTACTATACTTAAAAAACCCTGTAACATCAACTCATATATCAGTAGCTTGCATACCCAGAACATTCTCTTGGTAGATAGTGTTATGATCAGTAAGATTTGTCCATCTCTTTTTTTTTTTTTTTTTTTTTTTGTTACAACATCTGTTTTATATAGATTGCCGTAAAACAACTAGAAAAAGTTCAATGATTGTTTAAAATACTTTTTGGCAATGTCCCCAGTTTTGAGTGTATTCTTATAAAAGTTAAAATTCCCGACATTCTGGAATATGACCTTTAATTTGTCAGCCATTCACTTCTCCCGATTGTGTAATTCTGGATAAGGAAGGAAATCTGTACTACCAATAACACTATCGGTATCAGATATCTAAAACAGAAAATTGAATGAAAGGTAATGACTTGGTTTGAAAAAAATAAATTTTCAATCCAATAGGTATCCCTAAAAATCAAATTATTATCCCAACAATTCATGAGGTATAATGAACTTTGTTACTTCCTTTTTCAAATGCAAGTATTGATTCTGAAGAGTTTCTGTCTACTAAATTTCAATTAAATTCTGTTGAAAACTTTAAAAAAAACCTTCGCATTTTTATTTGATCAAGTAAAAAATATCTTATCAATGTAATAAGTCTAGCTGTTCAACATAAACACTTCCTGGGCGACGTCCGAATGAACCACTACTTCCCTGTCTGGAAACACCGCAGTACTTTATACATACACATGACTTAAAATAGGATATTCATATGGGTTTCTTAAAATTTTCCAGCTGGGACTTTATATGATTAAAAGCTCTATAAAAGATACTGCTGGTAATGTAAGAAATAAAAAAGACTCTTTATATAAAAGTCTAAAAGTTTAAAATCTGAATTATTATCAATAGAGCAGTGGAATGACTGTAAATGACTTCGACGCCTTTGTGGTCTACAATCCCGTAGGGACCGATTTGGAGTTTGTTAAATTGATGGCGTCTGTGATGGAAGCTCCACCCTACAACCTTAAACTTTTTATCCCCTGGAGGGACTACGCCCATGAAGACCACTACGTTTCGGCAGATCTTATCGAAAACAAGTAGGTGTAGAAGTGGTTATTGAGTACAGAGCGCAGAAAAAATGTATCATCAATATTGTATACAAGTATTTCCACCTCAATCTTGTAAAAGGTGGTAATCATAAATTGCATTAGCTTACATGTAAAAATTAATTTTTATTAGGGAGCTTTTCATAAATTTTAAGAACAATTAATTTAAAATATGTCAAATTTAGATGCCAAAAGTGTATTGTTGTGCTGTCGGATAATTTTGCTGGAAGTCAGTCCGCAGAGTTTCAGCTGAAATATGCAACATCCCTCTCACCAGGTATTCATAATCGGCAACATTTCTCTAAAAAATCTATTAAATATTTTAAGACAGCTCTGTCATTTGAAAAAAAATGTTTACAAGGATGATAAATTTTAAAGTTTACATTCAAAAATTGAAGATTTATTGGACTTTGGACCAACTTTTTCAATGTTACTTTTTCTTGTTTCTTTCAACTGTAACTATAATCCATATATACATATCTATCGAGAATTCTCCTATCGTAGCTAACCTACACAATCGCGTGATTCCCATTTGCCTGGATAGATGCAAGATTCCCGAGGTTTTACGATATGTGTGCACTCTTCAATACTACAAAGAGGATACCAGACCGTGGTTTTGGAAACGTCTGTACAAGGCATTCACAATCAACACAGGAGCGGATCTAACACAAAATTTAAAAGAGGGCGTTAATCTTCCTGATATTGTTTTGGACACATCTGCCCGTATTTTTAAACTCCAATGGACCCTGACATAATGATATACTAGTACACTGAAATGGTTTTGAACTTGGGGTGGGGTTATTGAGACGATTCCTTTTAAACTTTTCAGAATTAAGAACTATGAGCAAGTTCTAATTACTTGGAAAGGCTGCATTTCAAATATTACTCAGGTATATGACATGAAAATCACCTCAGGACACATTTTACATGTATTTGTTATTTCATAGTCTTTGTGATAAATATGCAGTTTAATGGCTGATGTGTATATCAGGCTTTGAATTGTATTGCTTGCCGTCTTTTTACGTAATTATGTATAATGACATATGCATAATCTTTACTTCTTCTGAATGTCATTTGATCTATTTTATGACAATCATATCATAATTCCTATAATAATTTTATCGTTTATACTTATACATGTATATTGTATATCATACTTACATTTTTTTTTAAAAATAAAGTTTGTGTATGGCCTTGACTTCATATGTAATCATGTCTAATTAACTCGGGATTCATATCACTTGCCGTTGTAACTTGGTCGATATATCTATCTATCTATCTATCTATCTATCTATATATCTATATATATCTATATATATATATATATATATATATATATATATATATATATATATATATATATATATATATATATATATATATATATATATATATATTAGGGATGTCAACGAGTACCCGGTTAACCGGGTACTCGATCGAACGTCCGAGTATCGAATACTAAAAATGGTACTCGCTTACTCGGATGTGTATTTTTTTTTATTTCAAAGAACATATTTTTATCAAAAAATTTTCAAAAAAATAACTTAAATATGCGCACGGTAATTAGCGTGTCGTCATCTACACCTGTAAAATACCAGTTATCGCCTGTGGCTGTGTATATACAGTAATTAGTGACCAATAATTTGGTACACAGCTGTTCTCACCTATTGTGGCCCTTAATTTTTGGATGGCTTCAATGATTGTTTTCAGTGAACATCGTTTAAGTATGATCTGTTATCCTCAAATCATTTTTAAATTTTTTAGTTTATATACGACAGCAAAATGCATAACCCACTTCAAAAGTGAATACAGGGTGTTTCATAATATATGTTACATTTTTAAATCTAATTATTTTTCTTACCTATCATATTTCTTGTACAAAATATATATCATTTTAAACATCAAATTCTGCATTTTTGTTCCATGAGAAAAAGTCATGGATATCATGGTATTACACTGATTAATTTGAATATTTTTCGAAATGGACTTAACTTTTCAACATATTGCTGAATTGTAAAGCATTTTTTTTTCAATACATGTCGCCAACATTCATTCAGAAGTTGTAGAAGAAGGAAATAATCCAAAAGAATGGAAGCTTTCTAGGATGCTATTCAGAAGGCTAGTAAGAAGGCTAAAGGACAGGGACGGGCAAAATGCGATAAATGACACGGTGCTTCAGAAAGCCTACGGACTTCAAGAGCCGAAGATTTAATTGGTGAAGTAGAGACTCTTAATTTAGCAAACTCCTGAGAAGTGTCAGATGGATGCTTTAGAAATTTATGCTGGCAATATCAGCATTTCCAGCATATATTGGACTTTCAAATATGATATGAAGTTATTAGCGTACAAATTTTCAATAATGATATACCCAAAGGAAAGAGTTTGACCTCTGCATTTGTCAATCTCAATCTTTGGGCCTTTTTCTGTAGGGGTTCTTTAGGAACAGGATCTACAGTCCTAGACCAGAGATACTGAATGAACTCAAAAAGATCGTAAAACTTCAAATGAGAAGTCTCTAAGCAAACATGTGTGACAAGGTTATACAAATTTCAAGAAGCAATTTTCATTTGTAGTTGAAATAGTGGATATCATGTAGAACAATGTAATGTTATAAGGGCTTTTTACGTTGTGAAATTCAACATTACAAAAATGACGTAAATTAGAAATTTTGCCAATTTTCATTAATGTTTGAGATTTTGTCCAGTGTTTAATATTTTAGTTGGCAATTGTACATAATGAATCTTATGGATACATGTAACAAATTGATGAAATCACTTGTCTGTATCTTTTTATTGTGTTTGTCAAATTGAAGATTCAAAATGTAACATATATTATGAAACACCCTGTAAATAACTAAAGATTAAAAAAAAAATGTTGTAAGTCAATTTGCGTAGTAAGTTAGTGTATTGGGGGGGGGGGGGGGCAACAAATGAAATAATATTAGACTAGCGATCCCAACAACGTCCGTTCCTTCTCTTTCGCTAGTCTAATAATCACAATGCAAACCTGCGTAACAGATTGTCCTAGCTCCTTTTGTGTTAATGAAATAGATCCTAAACAAGAACTGTAAACCATTTGTAATTTTTATGTATTAATTGTGTCTTTTGTGCTTATTTGATAAATAAAGAAAGGGGTGTACAAGGCGATGGCGGTCCCCCGCTCTGAGACAATATATTTCTCATTTATCAAAGTTCACTGAAAAGTTATATTTTTCTAAAATAATGTTTCAGTAATGTCATCTTCAACACATTTAATTCAATTATTTTATTGAATGACTTTTTGATTGATTATTTGTTTTTTAAATTGATAGGAAAGCATATTTAGTGGAAAATGGGTTTATTAGAGACATAAAAAATAATTTTGAATATGAATGGGTCAAGTTTCTATTTATAAACTTGATAAAAACAGCTTTGGGGTTAAACAGGGCTTAACGGGGCTCAAGAAAATTAACACACTTGTGTTTACATTTTTACCGAATACCCGGGTACTCGACCGGAAAAACGTCCGAGTAACCGATTATCAAAAATTGACCGATTTGACATCTGTAAAATTAGAATAAACTAACATCTATTTTGGAAGGATTTCAATTTATTATGTCTTTGCATTGAATTTCAATATCGTTAACAAGTATAGTTTCAGCAAAAATGTAAAATAATGATGGCTTGATAGGAAATATTCATAAAATTGTATTTTAGCAATAACTTATCCTGTTTTTCTTTCTTATTTTTGAGTATCCTATGTTCTTAATTGGACACAAGTTTATGTACTTCATATTACATATCTGTTTAATGTTTGGTTTTTGCCCAATCATAGAGTCTATGAATTATCGAGTTTACAGCTTTGATGTAAATGTGTAGATACATGTAATATTGCCCTGAAAAAAAAATATCAAGACTAGTTCGTTCCTACAAAACTGTTTATTTATCTAAAAATTCCCCAACTATTGTGTCTGTATAGATGTGACAGGCAAATTGAATTTCTGTAATATCACAACAGTTGATAATTAATCTAATTTAATCAAATAAGCTAAATAAAGGAACATAAAAAATGTATATATTCTTGTTTCGGAATGATACGTGTTTTGGGAAGCGCAACGACTCATTTCCACCACATTGTAATACGTAATATTTGGTTCAGTTCGAGTCCGAGAAATCGTATACATGTAGAGTTAATTATCCTCCTTAAATACGGTTTGTCATTATTTGATATGATTTGTACATAAACATTTCCCTGTAACTAATATTTTCAAATTTTCGTTTCCTGTTATTTCTTGAAAACAGTAATATTAATATTAGTTTTCATAAATTCATATCTTTAAAACAATAAGAATGTTAAAGTGTTTTAAAATATTATCTTGCAGATGAAGGATTCACCTTGTCTTTTATACTGATGGCATACTGAAACAAGAAGCAAGAAATATATAAATAAACAAAAGCAAGTGACAATTTTATGTCTGGAACTGTCAATTACTGCAGAGCAACTGATCTCTGAGGTAGTAACATTCTTCCTCTTTATGCCCTTAATATATTTGTAAGAAACATACTTTGAATTTTCGTGAATTCAGAATGCTTAGAAGTCGCGGACTGCTCGAGTAATTACCAAGAATTTGTAGAAGTTATTGGCTTCGACTTTCAAGACATAAAAAAAATTCAAAGACAAAGTAAGCCAACTTAAGGAAGAGCTGTATCTGTGGGGGAAAAAACTGAAGTATCATCTATACAATAGATAATTTAATTAAACATTTGCAGACGACGGGGAGAGCTGATGCCGTCATCGCAGAGTGCGCTTTCTCAAAAGTAAGGTTTATTTTGACTCAGTAACCTCAGTCGAGCATGTTTTTCCCGGGAATGTCAGTATACTAGTATATATAAATATCACTAATGTGATGCATTTGATAAAAAAAAAAAACACTAGTAGTCAACATTTTATTAATTAACTATTCTGTGATCGATCTTCAACTTCCATTCTCCATATCATCTGCATATCTATATATCTCTTTCTTCTCATTTCAAAATAAGGGATGAGTATGTGCTTTTTTCACTTTCTTGAAAAAGACATTGACCGTTTCAAAGCCTGTTACAAGAGAATTCATAAATTTAGTAATTGATTTAGCATCCAAGGAGTGAGTAAGCTGTAATTCGATTTCAAATTCTTATGAAGGGCGGCTTTTGAGTGGTTAAGAAAGTTAATATGCCTGTATACCTAAATGGTACACAAATTTTGAGAAAAATGTTGATATTTTACTTTAAGACTTAAAAGTTCCTTATGCTGCAATTACGTATTCAAAATTAACTTTAATGAGTAAGTTTCAAATGAAAACAACAATTACCGATTTTTATGTATATTTATTATTAACGTTTTGTGAAAGTGGGATTATGTTTTTTTAAAACGTGAATATTTCAACAGAATATTTCATAATCAATTGTCATGTTATACAGCATTTTGTCAACTTTTGTGTGCAACAATTACATTATTTCAATAACTGTATGCGATGTGACTATATGTTTAACATTTCAATACATTATTCTGTCGAGATAGCTACATGTAACATTTCATGGCATGAAAAAGCACATAATACCAATAATATATATTTATGGATATGAATTGGAACGTCGATATTTTCCAAAATTCACCAATGCCCATTTTTTTAAAGTTAAATTTCTGTAGAGAAAATAGTAAAAAAAAAATTGACCTTCAGTATGTATGTAATTTCTAAACAGTGTTTTTGTATTCATAATTCTTATATCATACTTTTACCTTTTATACCTTTTTATTTTACTTAAAGTTTGGAAAAAAAAGTGATGCTTTTCTAATACATTTGTTTCTCATAAGCCTTAGGCATGTCAGTGTATTAATGTGGAAAGAAGCTATTATTTCAGTAGGCAAACATTCGACACCCCCACCCCTCCAAAAAAAGAGAAAAATCCAAATAATAATTGATAATTATTTACGTGGTAAAGCATTGGTCGACCACATAACCATATACCTGTTAAGTATTTTATACCCTGGCACCCATGAAAGACATCAAAAAATGCTGATATAATGTTACCAGCCAATCAGAAGGGGCTTTAAACATGGAATAAGGAAGAAAAACTACCCATAGAGGGGAAAGGGGTACCGATACGCTTCGCTAACTTTGATGAACACGCACTTTAATGGACTTTAATGCTTCAAAGGTAAGGAAAGACAAGTCTCTAATAATCTGTTTGACAAATACTCTAGTTAGTAACACATTATGAAATCATTTTGCAATCTAATAATCAAACCGATAGGTCATATTTTTTATGTCTATAAGTAATATTATAACGAATATTTAACATTTCCCCTTATCTATCCCTGGGGCCTTGAGCAATTTTTTTTCATTCGTGAGGGAACAAACCCTTTAAAAATAGCATTTTTGTTTGAGCGATTTTATCTTTCATGTCGTTTACGCACGTAATAAGCTTGGGCTCCCAGTCGTGCATATTTTTGCACAAATGACTTAAAAATTACAATGTATATTCGAAATGTGTCACTGAGATTTTGTGATGGGGATTTAAATAAGAGTGTTTAAAATAAGACATATACGTCACAAAAGAGAACTGGGTATTCCCTTTAAACAACGAGGAAGTTAGGTCACAGATATACAACGAGCTCCATAAACACAACAAAACTGGACCTACTTAGAGGAAGATTATCACAAAACTTGCGATGACAACAAGTGAAGAACAAGTATGTACTAATGTTCAACATTTTCTTCTTTCGCTTTCTTAAAGATAAACCTATATGTAAAATATACAGTCTATGAGTTGATTGAGACAGGCAGAGTTTGAAACTTTGATTGGACGAAACCTGTCTGTAAAATGAGATAAGGGACAAGGTAGATTTAAAACATCTCATTCCAAGCACATAATTTTGAGTGCTTGCAATTGATAAAATACTTTGTGTCTACGTCACATAGAATGTCTTGTTAATTACATTTTTAAAGTCAGCAAACTAACAAGACTCGAGACAATGATCATGTTAATAACATTCGTCCCATATGCCAGCACTATTACAGGGGGAACGGTGTACAGGATCTGTTTCAGTTTTATTACATAAATGACGTTAAACTGCAACATATCCCAAGTTATTCCAGAATTATAATTATATAAATCTCCCAACAATTGTATTGTAATTCACTCATCATTAAAGAATTTTCCACACATTCTCGAAATAAATCTTTCATTTGTAGTATCAATTAAGTTTGCACTTAAAGTATATGCTCAGGCTAGAGTTACTTGTACTTAATCTTATCAAACAGATGTGACAAATTGTACTGGATCGATATAACTAATAAAAGTACTTAAAATAGGTATATTCTGAAGTTCAAAAGCTAATTTCTACTACATGGTATGTATCTAGTTCAGCCCAAGTATGAAGAATGTTATACGTGTAGTGTTTTCCTCATTAAATTCGACTCGTAGATAAACTATATTTGCAAGATTTGATTGGTACACAAACATTTCCCTGTCATTACATGTATTACTGGTATTCCCAGCTCTGAAAGTATTTCCTCTTATCCTTTTACAAACATACTAATCACATTTGTTTTCATAAAATTGAATATGTATTTAGATTTCAAAAAAGACATCAATATATCTTTTCTTGCAGATGAAGGATTCACCAAGTCTTCAGTACTGATGGGTAACTGAAGTAAGAAATGTTTAAAATAAAACAAATTAAAAGAACTGTGTTATCTTTATAATCCAAAAATGTCCATAACTGCAGAACAACTGATATCAGAGGGCAGTAACATTCCTCTCCATGCCCTAAATATGTCTGTGAGAAACAAACTGGGGAGTTTCTTGGATCCAGAAGGGTTTGTAACGGGAGACTACTCAAATGATTATCAAGGACTTGCGGAAGTTATTGGGTTTGATTTTCAAGACATCAAAAATTTTCAAAGACAGAGAAAGCCAACTCAGGAAGTGTTATATCAGTGGGGAACAAAACCTGAACTTTCACCTACAGTAGATAATCTTATTAAACATTTGCAGACGATAGGGAGAGCTGATGACGTCATAACGGAGTGCGCCCATCTCATTAGTAAGGATCTGTCAATAAGTTATGTCACAGGAATTTGTGTGCTTGTATAATATAAATGACCAGTATTATGTGTTGAGCATAAATAAGATTTTAGTTAACACTATTTTGTGATTAAACCGTCACTGCTTTCATGATAGACATTTTCTACTACTATATTTGCATTTAAAACTTAGGGATATCTGTATGCTTTTTTTCTTTCTAGAAAAAGACATTGATCGTTACAAAGCCTGTCACAAAGACATTCCTCAAGTGATTCAGGATCCAAGGAGTGAGTTCATTGTTTGTATTTATAGTTATTAGTCTTATATACATGCAGGTCGCCTTTGAGTGGTTGAGAAAGTACTCATTGAGGTATAACAATGTTTTGATAATTACAAGTAGAACACTGTCATTTTACACTATGGGTGTACAGTGCTTTATGTTGAAATAAATGTATTCCAAATATAACAATTTGCAATAAAAAGAATATACTCATTGACATAGTGTTTTTAAGGAATGATTTTTATAGCTTCCCAAATTGTACTGTATTGTCGGTTTACGCTTTATAAACCACGAAGCTGTATATAAAAATCAGATTATATAAGTATATCTTGAGTATCTATCAAATTTATTCTTTATAATTCAATTTTCTATCATTAAGTGTAAAAAATAAATGAGACAATTTCCCTTAAAAATGACTTCAAGTTGTACTGAATTTAAGTGTAACGCCAAGCAGCCTGAATCGTTTTTAACGTAAGTCATATTGTGACGTAGGCAACAAAAGTTATAATAACGCAGTCATTGATAAGAATTGTAAAGTAAGGGAAGGTCCATTGCTTTAGAAACATTCTCATTCTCTTTAATATGTATGTTATAGTATCTGCTGGCCCAATACCATCAACTGAACAGGTGGCTAAAAAAGACACTATAATAACGATCCAAGACGTCCAGACCAAAGGTATGTAAATTTGTGATGTAGCAACAGTGATGAATTTGACAGGAACAATTTGTTTGTCTGTTAAGTCATGTTTTATTGAAACAGTGCATATATATAATCCTCTCCCTACTATTCAATAAAAAGCATATTGTCATTCAACACTCAATTAGAAAACTAGGAGTTCTAAAAAAAATTGTGGCTTCAGCTTCGAAATGAAATACTGTAAAATCACTTATTTTCGTGGGGTCAAATTTTCGTGGTTTGAGGAAAACTAACTTGTTCGAGAGGATTTGATTTTGTTTTTTTAAGAAGAAACATGATAAAGCAGTATGTAATTTTACATTTTGTGGGGGATATAAATTCGTGAGTCTCCTCATACCACGAAAACGGCGAAAATTAACCCCACGAAAAATTGCGATTTCACAGTAGGCTAGAATTGTGTATTTTAATTTTTTGAAGATTTCTGGCATAAAAATGCAAAAATAATATTTACTTTGACAATTCCTTCAGATTTTATTTGTAAATTAAGGCCAACACGGCATCATATTTTTAGCACAGACTCCGAAATCTTTCTTTGACCATTTAACAAGTTTTCTAAGAAGCGTGAGCATATAATTGAAAATATGACGATGATCAATTTACAAAATTTAGTACCTGATACAAGAGGCAATATTTCTGCATACACTACCAGGAATTCCTTAAATTATTCTTTACCAAAATACAGATTAGAACTATATAATAAATCATTTATTCCTGATACTGTTAGAAAGTGGAATTCCCTTAGTCTTAAAACAAGGGAGGCAACTTCTATCAAAACTTTTAAAAACTATCTGCACAACAGTATTGTAAAACCTCAGAAATATTTTTCATATGGAAAAAGGTTTTTGAACATAATTCATACAAGATTAAGACATAATTGTATTTTAAATTCTGACTTATATCGCTGTAACCTAATAACCAGTCCTAATTGTTCTTGTGGACTACTAGAAGATGCATATCATTTGTTCTTTGCTTGTAAATATTATGTAAAAGCAAGGAATTCCTTAATGAATAAGCTATTGTCATTTAATTATTTATATGTTATAGATGTACATTTAATGCTATGGTGCGATGATTCTCTTACTATTGAACAAAATGCTGAACTTTTCAAAACTATTCAAACTTTCTTAAATGAATGTGGTCGTTTTTCAAAATAAGCTTACTTTTTTTTTCTTCTTCTTACCAATTCAAATTATACTTTTTACAGATTTTCAATTTAATGTTGACCATTAACATACAATCATTTGTTAGGGTCGTTTAAATAAGTAAATGGGTTAAATGTGGACCATGATTGTCCTTATGCAATCTTTAGTAAAAGGAATCCAATTTTATTATCAAACTGTAATAATGATTAAAGTGGCATTCTTTTCTTAAAGTTTCATAAGAGTCGAGCGTTTACAAAGAGATAATTAGGAAAATAACCCCTTAAAAACCGATAGAGTCACAATTAAGTCAAATTTGTAGTGAATGTTCTTTTATATGAAATCAGATCTTTTATGCGAGGATTCGGTCTCATCTTGGCTTTACATTTTTTACAGTATCATCTTCACCGAATGGCAATACTCAAAATTTTTCAAATTTACAAAACTGCAAAAAGGATTTTTACTAAAACTTATCTGCAATTTTTAAAAGTGTCTGGTTAAAAAACAGTATGTTTACCTTGTCAATAGATGACACATTATATTACGACGCCTTTGTGATATACAATCCTGCTGGAAAGGATTTGGAGTTTGTGAGGGAAATGGCCGACAAGCTTGAGTCTCCGCCTTACAATATGAAGCTCTTCATTCCATGGAGGGATGACCTTCCAGGAACGGCTCGTTATGAAATCAGTGCACATATGATTGCAACAAGGTTCTTTTCTTTTTAGTATTGTTCATTCATTATCATTATCAGCCTTCTGATTGGGTATTAGTTGATTAACGAAAAAATCTACAAATTTTACAATTATAAATGCTTTAATTTTGTTTTAATATCTATTATTAAGAAATAATGATTTTTTTTCTAAATTTTTCATCAGATGCCGAAGAACTTTGGTTATTTTATCTCAAGATTTCTTGAAAAGTGCTGCCGCAGACTTTCAGTTAAAGTTTGCCCATTGTCTCTCGCCAGGTAAGCGAAATTCACACACCATATATTATAGAAATGTTCAATCAAGTTTTTTAAACTGTTTTAAATTAAGGAATAACTTTTGTTCAAGCGTAAAAAAAAGTGTGAGAAGTTTTTTTCCAGACAATTGTCATGTGAACAAACTTTCTGATCATCATAATAAAAAAGTTATTCATTTAATATACTTACATTTTTCCTGATCCTTGATTCAATTTTAATTCAAGAATTATAAATCCAAGTCTTCAAGTACCACCAAGTGTATTACTATGCCACACACAGGGAGATGAGCAAAAAGCTTTAAGAAGATATAGATGTATTTACTTATTTGTAGATTCACCTCGGACAAAGACATTAGAAAATTAAAATATTTTGAAATAGAGTGATGGTCATTAATATGCAAAGGTAACTTTTCCACAGGTGCCAGGAGCAAAAAAGTAGTCCCTGTGTTTTCGTCCCCCTGTAAAATGCCGGACATCCTTAGATCAGTGTCCTTCGTGGACTTCACTAATCCAGGTCTAAGGGACTGGAACTGGCCTCGACTTAGCGCTGTACTACAGTGTCCCCTAAATCCTGACCCCCGGGACTATATGAGTGAGGAAGAACTTGAAGAGTTAAAATTAAACGCCGGGGATCTAACTACCAGGGGCTGGTGGTCCACAGGGGTCCTCACCATGAATTTTCCAGAGGAATCAGAAGATAACACACCATACAACGGATGACTGAATTCATTAGTAATATACATGTACTCGTGTATGTTTCTTGGAATTTGAACGAGTTTAACCTTCAATCATTTGGTCTAATATGATGGCATACTTGATTAATCGAAAAAATTGATAAATCTATCATTTGTCAGAAGATCTATAATTTTCCAATTCATTTAAATTTATAGATTGTTGGGTTTGATGATATATAGTTTCACATTATTATAATGTGATACTTGTTACTTTATTTTATTTTGAGAATGATACAAGGGGCCTGAACACAGTTGCAATGACGTTTTGTCTACAATTCTGAAATTCTATTTTCATTCAAAAATTAACTTCAGTTAAATGAATTGAATTAATATACACACTCTTGAAATTCAGTGACGACGACATTCTTCTGAACATATTATTAGTTCAAATATCTAAATATCTTTGATAAATTTATTAACATTGGCACGAGTTCTGTTATAGTTAAAGTTTTACCAGGAATCTTCAATTTATTAACTCAGCACATACTGAACCCGAACTACTGATAACGCTGGTTTGCTTGCTTTGCTTACATTCTTGATTTTAGTTTTTAATTAATATTTTTCATTAAAACACAACAAATTTTTCATTTTCTTAACCGGTCCTTCGGATAAGACCGTATAAACCGAGGTCCCGTGTCGCAGTAGGTGCTGGCACGAAAAAGATCCCTCACTGCTCAAAGGCCATAAGTGCCGAGTATAGGACAAAATTTGCAGCTCTCCACCGGCAAGTGGTGGCGTCTCCATATGAGTGAAAAGTTCTCGAGAGGGACGTTAAACAACATACAATCAATCAACAATCAATCATTTTCTTAAATTTTAAGAATAGACTATACTTTGTGACAGTGGAATGAATGTGTGTCAATCAAACTCGTCCTGAAATTCGTTGTTTAAAATATTTTCAGATAAAAAAGTTTGTAAACGAGCTTTTATGATATATCGGTCTGAAATGCTCTAGAAACACGTAAGCCATGATATTATACCGAAAGTTTTAGAAAATATTAACTTCAAACATATGTTCAAGCCCCTTTAAAGTAATTATTTTTTACGATTGTAATAAATGTTACCCAACATTCTGGTGCTTTTCGTTAATTGTACTTCATCTTTGACATTCGATCACTGTAAACACAGATTGATTTACACGGTCGGTGATTAATTAAAAGAAGACAATCCTATATGGGAAAAAAGTTGTAAGTGCCTAAACAGTGCCTGAATAGTGTTAGAATATATTTTTAAAAGAGAAGGGAACTCGGAGTTATTACGTTCCGAACCTTAAACCTGAGGAGTATTTCGATGACTAAAACGAGGAATTTTGGTGAAGGAGTGTAACCATATCTGTGGAAATGAAGCTTACGTTATTTCTACATGTAATAATTGTATAATAATATATTGTTTATATCTCAGTTAATATATTTTTATTACAAAAAAAAAAAAAAGAAAGAACATAGACATTTGGTAAAATAAAAAAAAAACAAAAACAAACATTAAGCATTATGTCTTTTAAACAGGTATATAGATCACTGTTAATACCAACCTATCCATAATTGTTTGAAATATGAAACACACACACACACAAACACACAGCCACACACAGTAACAAAAACAACGACGACGACAATTACAAAAGAAGAAGACCATGGGTCAACTGTTTATTGTGAGTTATAGTTATGACCAACTTAACCTACACCTGAACTGAAACTCTGGACTACAAGTAGTCTGGTAAAAGGCAAATAGGATACTCTCATCTTGAAATAATAATAATAAATTTCAATATATTACCAATTAAGCTCAAGGGATATGAATTTTAAAGTCTTGAAAGAGAGCTAGGTGCTGATCATCATCATGCAAACAGTTTTGCTGTTTGTCCAAGAGTAAAAATAATTTTCATAGATGTATATTTATTTATGACCAAGTAGTATAAGAAGTCTAAGACCCGGGCCTGTAGAAGGACGTCATCATATGTTCATACTGAGGAAACACGAGCATAAAGTAGCTAATATGTCTTCTATAGTATATTATCGCCATTTTCACAGTGTTGGTGATTTTTCATACTCACTAATGTTATAATTCACTCTGCATCAAGATTTTTGATTAAACCCATAAAATTATGACCAAAGTACATGTATGATCAAATGATACCCCTAACAAGTTAAATGATATATGATACTCCCATGTTCTATACAACAAAAATATTAAACATTTACTACTGAAAAAATGGGGTATAATATGTGTTATGCTGTTGCAGCTGAAAAATGGCTTTATTATTCATTTTTGTTTCAGGAGATTTACGATAGAAAATCTTAGTGATAGATGTTAAATCATTGTGAAATTATCCTTCTTTTATATGAAATTTACTGTATGAAAATCAACAAAATACACACACTATTAAAATATGTAAAAATGCAGATAAGTTATGTAATTTCATATAATTCTACTGTTTGAACTTGTAATTCAAAAATATATATATTGATGCATTACTCTAATTTTAGGCTCATTTCAGAAACTGAGTTAACGAGGTTCGCTCCTGAGCTTTTGAGCAGATTTTCATTTTAACCTATATTTAAAAAATTCTGGATAATGTTTTAATTCTTGCAATAAATTTGGATTCTACAATGTCAAATAAACTATATTCAGTTAAAACTCCATGATTAAATTCCATACCAAAAGCATTAAGTGAGGAACTATATTTTGTGGCGGAAGGTTTTTTAGAAGAAAATGATAACTTTTTCTCTTTCGAAGTATTTAAAGTATGTTAAGTTTGGATTCCTATTTTTACATGCAGTCTGCACACAGAGTTATTTTGTGCAGTGAACTGTTTTATACTGGTCCTAAATTATATATTTAATAAACTGTCATGAATTCTATCATCATATTTGATAAATATAGCAAGTATATTGTGAAAATCAAGAAAAAAAATTAGCCCTAATTTAAGCTCAAAATAAGCACATTTTTAATAATATCTAAAAATTAACATCACAGACCCCCACTTTTAACTTTCTTTTCTGAATATATAAGATACTTTTAACCATTCTTCTTAAATTCAGTAAAATGACATTACTTTTTACCGAGTTGTTTGCTTGTTAAATTATTAATGCTAGCAAAATGAAATTTTTTTGAGTGCAAAAAGGTCAAATAATTGAACATGCGGAGTAATTTGAAAATTTTTTCGATGTCAAAAATTTTAATGGGTCTATTCAAGATGAAATAAGACTGTGTTTGTTCCCGTAACTTATTTAAATAAAAAATATTGGAGGAAAACTGTAAAAAAATGATTTATGTGTAAGACGTATTTACAGTGCAAAAAGGTCAAACTAAATGCTCTGTAGCGCCAAAAGAAGCGCATTGACCCCCATTTTTTGTTTTGATTTTTAATTAAGCTATGTGTATAAATTCTAAAAATATACTTGATAAAAAATTCTCATTACTTTTGAGATCAGGATCCAACCTCCTTAAATGATACATGGGACAGTGTAGAAAAATTTGAGTGGATTCTTCGAAACTTCAGAAAATGACACATTTTCTTCTTACTGGCATAAAATCAAAAAAATTCTGTAGTGTCCGCAACATGTGCTAATGTTGGTATTCATTATAAATTATATTTCTTTTATTTTACATGTAAGAAGCAATACAGCGTACTAATCTATCTTCCAAAAAATATCAGACTTTAGCTCAGTGTTGCCCGGATTTCTGGCAGATATATTGTGTTTTAGAGTCTGAAACTCTGTAGAATCCGCAACAGCTTTTTTAATTCACAGTTTTTTCAAGGAAATGTACTGAACATGATAACTGATAATCACTATAATTATCCAAATATTCAACTCAAACATATAAGGTTACAAATATTAGTGGAACTATAACTTCCGACTTAGAATAACACCCATAAAAACTAATTCATATATATTATTCAAAATCTTTCAATTTTCAGTCTTATGTTATATATTGTAAGTCAATTTTTATGTGGTATTTAAAACTGCATTATAAGTGGAAACTAAAGAATATATCAAGATGTTAATTGTTAATTTATAAGTCTAGTTCTAACTAATGCAGTTGTGTTGCCGACAGTACATATAACTACATACCACATTCATTTATTATTTTCAATTTTTATTTCATTAAACATTTCTGAAATGTAAAACACTTCTCCGATATTTAGCTCCTTTGATAATAACGGTTGTTATCTGGATTTAGATAGCAAATGTTGATTTTTGTACAAGATAAACTTCAAACTTAAGTACTAGTATATATTTTGGGTTTTATTTTCCAGGAATGCCATTCTTGACTAGACTTTTTTTTTTAATTTCCCTATAATATAATTCCATTCACAGTACATAGAGAACTAGTAAGAGATCAACTTGATTAAGGTGTTAAGTTTATTCCATTCAAACCAAATATGGCGAATTTATCAATATTTGAAATATATAGTGTCCTCAACAATTTAAATTCTGAAATAATGATAGATTCTTCAATAAATTCTTATTTTGTGAAATTTATCTATAAAACTATTTGTTTTAACTTGTTTAATTGTATTAACATCTGTGGAACCATATACATTTTTAACTGCATATCAATTATACATCAATAAATAAGTAATGGTCCTTGTTATGTGGTTATTTTCATCTCAATAAACCACATCCTACATCTTTTAATATGATCCATTTTCAAGAGTTGATCCTGTGGTATATAATTCAGCCTAGAAATGAACATTTATCAACAATTATTTTTATTAAAAGTGACTAAAGATTTTACTTGTGGTTACTTGTAGTGTCCGCAACAAAAATACTATGCATTTTCAAAGCTAGATAAGACGGAAACGAAGATATCCAGCATATTATGACAAATGTGTTTGAAAGGATCACTTCTAGGTAAATATATGTGTTGACCTATAGGGCCGATATTGGTTTCAGTCTTCAGAAAAAGCTTATCGATATCCGTTCTGGTCGCCGACTTTAGGCCACAAGCGTGTAGTTTCTTGTTTCTCATGTATCGCTTTAGTTGTAGTCAACTGCGTGTTCATATGACCCTACTTCGGTATTTTCAGATACATCCTTTGTATGAGGGTCCTTACTTGATGCCTGGGTAATGGCAACGGGAGATAAAATCTTAACTGACCTTACCACATTCTTTTCTAATCTGTAAACCTTCCTCCTGCATTTTTGGCATAAAATGTCGCCAATGCACATAATTTTCCCGAGGAATGAACTGCATTTACTCTGCATAGCTCAGTATCTCTCCCACTGGCACAACAGTACTATTACACAGAGATGTTCTTGAAAGACAAATGCAGAATTTTTGCTCGGCATGGTTTTTTTTCGTGACACCTGCAGTATCGAGTAACACAAAGTGAATGATTCGTGTCCTCGAACAAAGTGTGCTTTCACTGAGGTATAGTTCCGGTTGATTGCGTTTAGCTAAAGAGAATTTATGATCTTCATTTCCATAAATGTCTTTTATATCAACAGCAAACATATATTTAATGAAGAAAATAGAAGTAAAATGCAAAAGCCTGTATAAAAAAAATTAAATTCGTGTTTATACAGGTGAAAATCTGAAAAAATAACAGTATGCCAACAGGTGGATTCGAACCAGGACACTAAAAATGTTCATGCTGAGAGTCTGCGGTCTATCTTTCTGAGCTATACAGACCATTAAGATCAAAGTCATAGATATAAACCACTATGATAGAAACAGGTTTTCGCATTTTTTGTAGGTCTTTTACGAATTTCGACCCTAGGGAAGAGGTGCCGCTAAAAAAATCTTGTTTTAAAATATTCCTTAGATTAGAATCTATCAAAATTTCATAATTTAATTTAGGGGCAGGCCTGCCCTGAAGGACTTCTTTGCCAAAATTCACGCAAAAATTAGTGAGTTAACGGACAAAATACTGTTTTGATCAACTTTGGGGGTTAATTTCAAAGTTGCAAATAAAAAAAAATTAGGTTCAAAATGCAAATTTGAAAAATTTAGACAAATATGCGATAGAAAACAACTAAAGAACATTGATTCTTAAATATGACTTTTTCCGCAAAATAGTTCTCTCCTATAGTTCAAATCTTTTGTTATAACGAATACATCCTTT